ACATGGCCTTTTTGATAAGAGGCATCCTCAATACTGTGGATGGACGAAATCCTGCACCACTTGGAAACCATGGGAAGCCATACCGTTTGTTGGTATTTACAGGGGAATCAAATCATTGGGTTTCTGAACGGTGGTGCCCTCGATTTCTGGATGTCGCAACCATCCTCAATATGGCTGTGGCTCAAAAAACCGGTACCAAAATGGGTTGCCCTGGTAAGTGGAAACATGGACCAAAACCTGCGGTTTGCCCCTCCGATCGTTTAATTTTGAGCCACAGCCATATGTCGGTGGTTTGGTTTGCACTGCGAAGGTCTGCCAAAGGCCCGGCACCAGGGAAGAAAGAAGCTTTATTGGGAGGTCCTTGTACAAATCATCTGGCTGAGGGTAACCAGACCACAGGTGCTTGGATTTTTGTTTGGTTTTCCAAAGTCGCAACCATTCTTGCCAGGAGAAGCCGCTGCAAGTGAAGCGTCTCTCCTCCACCGCGCCGCCGCCCCCGCCGCCCTTTGATGAAGCTGGGGAGGAGGCGGTGGGAGGTTTTGGGATTTTTTGGGCAGCGGCTTGGGTTGGGGTTTGGGGAGTTTGGGGGGGGGGGGGTGGTTGGATGTTGAGGTTAGGGAGTTGGAGGGTTTGGGAGTCCTGCCCTTGTATCCCCTTTTTGCGGGAGGGTTCCCCTAAAATCGACAAAAAAGAAGAGTTGGTGCCAACTGATTCGAACCTCTCAGATCTGGAGGACCTAGTTGGCTGTGCAAACCTCGGGGAGGGCGGAGGGCAGCGGCCGGGGCCACGGAGGTTGGCGAAGATGCCAATGACTGCTTGTGTCACTACCCCCAGAAGCCAACGGATATATATATATATATATATATAAAGGTTATATGTTATATGAGTATGTAATTATATATGTGCGGGTTACACAAACAAGCGCCTCAATTTATAGGAAACCTGTTTACACACACATATATATATATATACATATTTATAATTAAGGATCCTGTTCACCTACCAATTATGACTGGGAAAAACCGAGAAGCATCGGCATTTAATGAATTTGTTGAAGGGGTTCAGGTGACGAGAGCTGGAGAGCTGTCAGGCAGCCCGGAAGCACTGCGTCTTCTTCCACAATGCACCTCTGCGCATATCCGAGGCGCCGGCTTGCATGCTGACTGGATCGCCTTTTCCTTTGCCATTGTCATAGGATGGATAACCTGTGTTTCCATCGAAAGGATATTGGATTTTTGCTTGTCCTTTCTTTCCTTTCTTGCCTTTGCCTTTTCTCCAATGTAACTTCTTGTGGAAAATAAGGAGTTGTCCATTAGACGCACCAAAAGTAAAAAAGTGTTTGCAGAGGGGTGAACAGCAAGCACAGCCAAGCCAGTCAGCCAGGCAACGCATTGGGTAGGAGAAAACAAAACTCTTGTGAGACAGTGAATGCTGAGTTGGGAAGTCACTCACCTGTTGAGCATAACACTTGTTTTTGCGATTTTGGAGGGGTGGTTTTTCTTTCGGTTCTAGGGTGCCCCGATTGGTACTTTGGACATGTATCAATGTGACCGGGCATTCATTTAGATCCGAGCTCATTACAAAGATTGTTTCTGCCAAACCCTGTATGGGCTGACATGGGGAGACCCTCCAAATCGGCGGCTGTCCTTTTGGTTTACCTTGTAAGCCATCTCCAAAGGAAAGCACAAAGACAGAGAGAGTGGGAGAGATAGAGAGAGAGAGACACACACAGAAAGACGCACACACACACAGACACAGACATGCACAGACAGACAGACAGACAGACAGACAGACAGACAGACTGACTGACTGACTGACTGACTGACTGACTGACTGACTGACTGCCTGGCAGGCAGGCAGGCAGGCAGAGAGACAGACAGACAGACAGACAGATAGACAGACAGACAGACAGACAGACAGACAGACTGACAGACAGACAGACGCAAACACTCAAACGCGGCACCAGGGTTTATCGCAACGCATGTTTGCTATTGACGCCTAGACCCAACAGCTTGGCCTTCGCCTTAAATTCGAAGGCCAGCGACCAAAAGACCGTCGGAAGAAGCCAGCGTACCGCATTGCAAGAACGGGAGCTCAGGATTAAGGAGAACCCCTGCTTGTTATTACTTCTTTTTTTTAATGGGCGGGGTGTCCAGTGAAAGAGGGAATCCTTCAAATTCTCTTGCTGGTGCTCAGCAGGGAATGAGGGAATGACTCTTTAATGAGACGCCTGGGTTCGTTCCCACATTCCCTACGGAGCACCAGCAAGTAAACCAGGGTGGGCATTGCCCGTTGCAAAGTCAAGGCGGCTTGAGTCATGCCAGGCTCACTTGAAGAAATTCTTCGAGAGAGCTGGCACTGTGCGGAGGACAGGAGGGCGAAAGTCACTCTGGCAATGGAGGGATGTTGGACGACTTTTGTAGTCACCAGAACCATCACTACCAAGGCCGTATGTTTCAGTTGTTGTTTTGGTGCCAGTGAACGAGTAGGATGCTACTTAAGATGGTTGACTAAATGCCTGCAGACAACTCCCAGACACACCCTTGAAGTCTCAACCCGGTAAAGTGGTGTACCCCGAACCATGCAAAGAATGACAAAGGCTGGGATCTGCTCTTACCCTCCAATTACCCGGGTGTTCATTTTGGCTGGGTTTGGATTTCTCGACTGGAGGCTTGGAGAGGTGTTTTTTTTTCCGTCCGACCTGTCGAGTTTCATGAGGCTTCCCATGGGCCACGGGTTCTTCTTGTTTCGGCCGAGTGGAGCGCAGCGCGGGCGTCGGATCTGAGCCCGTCAGGTTGCGCATCTTCCAGGAGAGCGGCAGATCCCGCGGCATGGGCGCGGGGCCCCGCGAGGGGGATGCGGAAGGGCGGAAGGGCTCCGGGAAAGACCCGGCCACAGAAGAAGACCAAGAGAGATGTTTTGGCAGAGACATGTCAAAGGGCATGGCACGACCTCTTGAGAATATTGAAATGGAGAGAATGAGAGTACAAAACTGCTTATTTCCAGTTTTTGTTGGTCGATAGGACCCAACAAACCGTCAATGAGGAATGTCTTTTCGGGGCAAGGGCCCCCTTTGTTGGGTCCCAAGTTGATTTGGGGCACATCGCATCCAAAGTTTGTTGTTTTTCGGGGATTGCACCTGCAGAAACAACTCTTCTGATCGGCTTCCTTCTGCGAGAAGTATGTGGTGCTCTGCGGCGGTTTCCGCGAGAAGTGTACTCCCACGGAAATCCAGCGCTCGCCTACATTCTGCGCCCGGGACATGGATGGAGTCAGTCTTGAACAATCCAATCCGAAACCGCTGGCGCCGCTTTTTATTCCTCATAGGTGTGGCTCAAAATTAAACGATCGGAGGGGCAAACCGCAGGTTTTGGTCCATGTTTCCACTTACCAGGGCAACCCATTTTGGTACCCGTCTTTTGAGCCACAGCCATATCGACTCTTTCCCGGAAGGTGTTTGTTCAAGCCGCCGAACGCGAGATATCGATGTCGTGCAAGACGACCTTCAGCCGACTTTCCGGGATGCGGGCGAGTCTCAAAATCGGGGAACCCCAATATGGCCGGCGTCCGTTTGGTTTGCCTTTAAAACCATCCAAAAAAGGGGTCCTCAAAAACAGAGAGAGACCCATGTTAACCATGTTTGTTGGCTGGGCCAATTCATGTTCCATGGTCCGGCCTTCCGGTTCCGTGTTTCCCCTAGCTGCTAGGAGCCCAAAAGGGCTCCTTGCCTTTGCTGGGATCCATCTGGCCAAGGTGGTCTTTGGTTTCTTGGATTGGCCTGGTGGAAGGAAAGGTCTTGGGATCCTGGTTTTCGGTTTTGGTTTTTGATTGTTTTTTGATCATTTGTATTCTATTCTCTCTTTTTTTAAAGAACAAGAAAAAGCACACTTTTTGTTTAATGCTTTTATTGGCCTCTGGCTTTGACCTCCTGGAGAGCTGGCGCCCAAGCTCCAGCCCAATCCAAGCCATGGGGAAGGGGTTGGGTTGGATCGCTCGTGGTTTATCCCACAAAAGAATCTCCTGTTTTGTATGGGAATGGAGACGGGAAGAGGGGAATGGGATGGGAACTTGGGAAGAGGGGAAATCTGATAGCAACTTTCCTTCTTTTATATGGGAATGGGTTGATCCCCCACTGTGATTCTTTTTGGGAATCTCCTCCCTTATGTGGGGAGTCGGGGTAGTCTTTGGGCTCCACTCTGTTGTATCACGGATTCGTGGATTCCATCTCAACCACAGCCCTCCGGGTACTCAGGCCTCTGTGAATACGTGAGCCCAGAGGGCGCCCTGGCCGCGCGCTCGGAGGGCGTGAGTGCGCGAGTGCCGAGCCGCGAGACTCGATGTTCTTCTTTTTTTTTTCAAGGCCGTTCTGGGCGTCTACGATCTTCGGGGGTAGTTCTCTGGAGAAACCTTGGCCATGTTGGTGCTCCTGGACTCGATGTTCTATTTTTTTCAAAAAACCGTTCCGGGCGTCTACGATCTTCGGGGGTAGTTCTCTGGAGAAACCTTGGCCATTTTGGTGCTCCTGGTTACCACAAGAATTCATCTATTCATCTGTGATGTGAGCTTGTGGCTATGGGTCTGGGTCAAAATGAAAACCAGGATATGGACTGCAGGTTTTTTGGTCCTTCTCACTCATTTAGCACGGATACCCATTTTGGGGTACCCGTTTTTGACCCACACCCATGGAGTTGCCACCAGGTTTGAGCCAAGCATCAATGGCTTGGCGCGCTGAAAGTCTCTCTCTCCAGACATGTGCCCCGATGAGGTACTCGCAGCCGTGACGGCCTGACGGTTTTTGGGGTGTTCTTGTTTAGGATAAGTTTCAACAAAAACCACCAGGAAGGTCCCACAGCTAGGTGTCCTTTTACATATTTTTTGGGGGGAGGGTTTCCCTACTAAAATAGACTACAGAAAAAAAGACAGTATTCTCTGCTGGAGGACCTAGCCGGGAAGGACCCGTCCTTAGCAAACCCACACGAGCCTTGGCTCCTCTCTGGCGGCAAGTCTCGGCTCAAGCGAGTCGGAGATGTTGATCAAGCGCAGCTCGGCGTGCATGCAGCAGAAACCCAGTTCACGCTGCGGTGGGTGGTTGCATGTAAAACACAAATACAAGACTTGCTGTCTATACATATATATATATATACATATATATATATATATGTGTTTGTCTTTAGCTTAAACAAAACACACACGAAAACAATGATTCGCCTTTTTGCTGTTTGATTCCTCGCCAAATCTGGACCAGAGGGTTCTCCTTACCAGGGTCACTGGCCAGCGGAGCATCAATCCAGAAGCGTGAGAAGAGTGGCTGGTCACTCCTACGAAGTGACCCAAAGCAGTTTCGAGTCTTTCCTCCTCGCTGCTTTGGGCGATGTGTCCCGCCCCGATCACAAGCTTTCCAGGGGAGCCATTGCAGAAATGGCTTTTTGTCCGGTGGCTCTTGCGATCTGTTTGCATCAATGGGCCGTTTGGGACGTTTCGTTGCTTGGGCTCATAAAATACTCAGGCCTTTTGACTACCTAGAGTCTCAGTGACCCTTTAACATTGGGTCATTACCCTAAATAATGGGGTCATGGACCTATTTTCAAGGGTCATCAAGACTCCAGGTGGAGCTTTGCCGAGCGCGGCATGTCTCGAGACTCAGGCACCTGGTTCTCGTTGGGCCAGAGATTCAACATGTGTCCAGCTTTGCGGCTTTGGCACCGCAATCTTGGAAGCAATCTTTTCTAGGTCCCCCAGTAGTGCCCTTTTACATCCTTTTTGTGGGGAGGGTTCCCTACTAAAATAGACTACAGAAAAAAGGGTACCCTTGTTCTAACCTCCCTACTGGAGGACCTAGTTTTGATCCCAACGCCTTGCTTGCTGGTTTTCAGGAATGACCGTTCCGGGTCTTGGGAATGCATCCAGGGGCCCCCTTAAAGGAAACCGGACCGTTTGGATGGTAAGCAAAAAGAGGGGGGGGTCATTCCATTGTCGCATTGTCCTTCCGGCACCAAGTCTTGGAAGCCGTGGCCGCAGCCAAGGACCTGTTTGTTTGCCAAAGATGATTCACTTTCTGCCGCTGCTGGCCGCTTGGAGAGAACTTCAGACCGGCGCTAATAAAACCGGTGCCGGAGTCACCTATTTCGTATTGTCCCGCACAAGCCTCAATGGCCGTTTTGTCGCAAGGTCGAGGGCTAGGAGCCGCGATGGCCGTTTTATCAACAAGAAGCGGCCAAATGACCAGATCTCCAGATTTCCTGCCTGCCTGTTCGGCCTGCACCAAGAAACATCAGTGTTAGGAATGCTGAGCTAAAGGCGAGGACGAGCTGAGCTGTTGCAAAGCGGAACCCTCTGTATACCTAGATCCCCACCTTATTTTCCAGCTACTTTGGCAAAATTATGGGCTACTAGTGGGTAGATTGGCTGGAAGAAAGTAGCTCATTGGGGTTCCAGGTAGGTCTTGGGGCCATGTTTTGCATCGTCTCACGGCGCGCTCACCTGTAGAACGCCAGCTCAGCTTAAGGTCGGGACGGTCGTTCGCCAGGTGGTGCATGGCTTTGCTTACCGCATTCAGACCACGGTCCTAAAGGACCTGCGAAGTCGAAGTTCGAGCCATGCCCCAGGTGAACGGAGACATCTGGGGTGCAGAATTGCTTCCCCTTTTGGTTCAGGAGAGCCCGAAAAAAGAAAAAAAAAGCCGCTTCCCCTTTTGCTTTGGTGCATGGGATGTTAGGACTTGAACTGTTTGCCAACTAAGGGATCTTCCGCATTAAACTACTACAAGTGTTTAGTTATCCTTTTTAGCAGGGGAGCAGAAAGCAACCGAGACATGTTCTCTGTGATTTTTGTTGGTGTGAAGGGAAACGAATGGGAACCCATTTTGGGAGGGGGTTCACACACACACATGACATGTGACATACCCCTTGTGGCCATGAACATTGATTTAGCTGGTTAGATCCACATCCCTGTGGTTCGGGTGAATTGCACATGTATTTGTTGGACCCCTGTAGAGCCAACTCCTAGACAAACCAACATTTTCAGTGCCAACCACGGATTTATCAACCCGTTGGATTAGTACGTAGGTGAACGCTTCACCCGAAAAGTGAAGGATCACCTCAAGGGGATACCCTCCCTACTCCTCACCCAGTTTATGAATCCTGGGCCCCTCTGACGCTTGAGTATCTTGAGTGGCAGGATATGAATCAGCCGCGGCACCTGAAATTCTCTATGGGTGCCCTTGGGCCATTGTGGCGCCTCGCCTTCGCGGGGGCCAAACCGCCTCCGGACCTGTTTGCGGTGCTTTCGCCGGGCCCGCTGCAAAGGCTTGAGCTGAAGAATTTGGGCCGGGCAGCTGCGAGCCCAAAGGACTTGGTTGGACTTGCCGCGAGGCGCCAGGCCGCCAGGGAAACCCGCGTGAGGATTCCTTGGCTCCGAATAAAAAAAGAACAACCCGCTTGGTACAGAGGCGGTTCACACAGTTGTCTCGATCTTCCAGTGGCGGAAGGTTTCGACAGTTGGTTCACAAAGTTGTCATCGTCACGGGGTGGAAGGGAACCCAGTGAAGCGACCAAACCAACCACTCTTGGGGCCAGGTTTTCCAACGAACCCTGGGTCCCCCAGTACCCTTTCTCGCCCTTTTTTTGGGGGAGGGTTCCCCTACTACAACTGACTACCGAAAAAAGACGGTACCCTGAAGCTTATTCTAACCTCTCAAATCTGGCGGACCTAGAACCGGTCGTGCTCGGAACACGGATTCTGGGTCGGAGCCGGGGCCTCGAACGCAATCCCTTGGCATAGGACGACATCGACGTGAAGCTTTGGACCTGGAATTCTGGCAAGGCACCGCGGGGGTGGGGCCCCGAGACGCGGCTTTTCTTCGGAGCCCGAGACGTGGCGTTCCAAAAGTGGAGGCTCCTTCAGGGGCCTTGGACCAAAAGTTGCCCTAGTCTTATTTTCAATTCGCGGGAGGTTCCTTGTTTTTTCCCTATGTTTTTTTTTGGGCAAAGTCGACCATACAAGACTTAGCGGATTCCCTTGCAAAGTGACAGTGAGTGGTTTCGGATGTCTCCTTTGAGGGAAGGGGGGGCTTCAACCCCAACCTGCGGCAATGCCAACCCCTCAGCTCCACCTAACACTGGCCGCAGTGGTTGAAATGGTTTGGTGTGAAGCTGTCGGTTGCGCGTCGCGGGTTGCAAGGCTTGCAACGCTTGGACGGCTTTGGCCTGGCACGCGCAAGATGGAGACACAAGCCTGGATATATCAACATCAATCCCTCCTGATGCCATATGAGCGGTGCCAAAAGAGAAACGGGTTAACCGCCGGGCTCTCCTCACAAGGCCTCTCGAAAGCACATAAGTCCAACAGCCAAAAAGGAATGTGCTTCGCGGCCTGGTCCAAGTGGACGGCCTGGCGCGAAAGCTTGCCGCGAAAGCTCCGCGAAGGTGATCCTTCAACCACATGCCCACGAAAACGAACCATGTGGCCGCGGAAGCATAGCGGAAGCTCCGCAAGAAACGTGGTCGTGGAGGATGATACGCACCTCCGGTTTTCGGCACGCGTTTTGCGCCTGGTAGGTGCTTCGGATTGGGGAAATCGAGTTCCCGTAGAGTTCACCACGCCCCGTATAGTCCACCAGGCCGTCATACGATGCATGCTCGTGAGCCCTGAAACACGGATGTTTGGTATGGGATGAGGGTTCACCATCAGACTTGAGCATGTTGGGCAAGCGTTTGCAGGAAACCTTGATCTTCGTGGACATAGCTGCCAACAGCATTTGCGCATTGTGAGATTTGCTACAGCACGCCTCTCAATAACCTCATTGAAAACAAGGCCTCGTCCCGGACCCCTGTCATATCGCGGTGAAGTTCAACGAGGCATGTTCTTCAGGACTCAGGACAATGAACTCCGTTTTGTTTCCCCCTTTTTTTCTGCTCATTTGCCGGGGGTTATCGTTGTTTCTTTCACGACCAGGTGGGCCTGTCTGCAAAAACGGAAGAACATAGAAACCGCTTCGAGGGCTCCCCTGTTTGACTGGGTGGATGAACATCCATCCGCAAAAGAAGCATCTTTAGGGATAGCGGTTTCCCTTGTGGTGCGCCGCGGATTTCGGAGTAGGGATCCCTCCGTTTTTAAAGCCCAGATTCAACGTGGAACTGATCTCTCGCTCTGGGGCATTGCCAGGCTTTTTTTGTCTTTTTCCCACGCCCGAAGACTTCAGGGATAGCGCCACTTGCCCGCAGGAAGACCTGCAGCAAGAGGCAAATAGACTCGCTCAGACGGATGCCGTGCTCTGGCGAAAAGTTTGGCTGGCCCAGCCAACCTAGCATGGCGCGCCAGGAGTTTCAAACACCCGAGTATAATTATAGCATCTTATCAATCCAAGGAAATGGCTTAGGGATTCTCGTGCACTGCAATTGAATGCATCCGAATGCATCCGAATGCCCAAAGCCGAAAGATGACCTTTGGACTGTTTCCCCCTTTCCCACTTTTAGGTCCCACAAGCTTTTTCCTTTATTTTCAGTGAAGTGAGAATGTGATCAAAAATTGGCAACATCTGTTTTCCTTCACTCCCCCACATCTTGCCTGCTTCTTCTGATTTCCCAATTGTTGTTTGGTAATTACTGTCCAAAATGCAGTTTGGGGGGTGCTGGAACTACAGTTGTTTTCCTTTAACCCACTTGGCTGACTTTGGTAGGCCAGCGTCAAGAGACCAAAGAGAGGATTTGCATGAGCCGAGAGCGTTGCCAGACATGGCTTGCCTGTTGCTTCTTGTTCATTTGTTCTGTGTTCCTTGATTTTCTGTTTCCACCAGAAACTACTTTTTGTAAAAAAAGAGGCCACTTACATTGAGCCTCATAGTATTTAAGCCAGGCCCCCCCTCCCCCCGCCTCAAGCAAGGCTCTGTTAGCGGATGGGTTTATAGAACCTACACAGAGCTTCGGGAGCCTTTGGATTGATCTATCTAATTGGTTAACTTGCACGGTCTTGCACATAAAACCATGCGCAAATGCCCCCCCCCCCTTTGAATTCTGTTGGCGTCTCCCACTGCAAATCACTCAGGACATCTTTGAGCATCGATGTAGGTCGCAGAAGGGTATACCGCAGCAGCTTATTGATCCACCATGGTGATATGTGGCAAAGCCAACTATGAGGGAATACCTGCCATCTGATGAAATGTCCTTTTGATCCACTTGGCGCGGTCGCTGTTTGTGCCTCGAGGCTGGGGAGCCAAAAGACGCGATGTGATGCTTGTCATGTCACGTCAGCCCGCGACTGCTGAGTTGAAACTTGGTGACCCTAACCTCAACGAGCCGATTTGCAGTTCACCACTTGGTGTCGTGGTGTGTTTGCCCGCATGTGATTGTTCGTGTGGACGTGTGCGTATGCGTATGTTTATGTGCGTGTGGGCGAGTGCGATTGTGCGCGCACAATGCGAAAGCCTTTCGTAGGCCGAAATGTTGCTACCAGTTCTCCCCCGCCCTCGCCGGACAAAATACAAAGTGCAAAGTGCATGTCGTCTACCTAGAGTCTCCATGACCACTAGAAAAAGGGGTCATAACCCCTTAATTTTGGGTAGGGACTCCATTTTTATAGGGTCATGGAGACTCCTGGTAGGCTCGAGGTGCAGGGCAGGGACTTGACCGAGCCGAGGGATGCAAGTTAGCTGTCTACAAAGCCGCAAGTTGCATCCAACAGCCTTCCTGTTGCTTTCCTTCACCTGCCAGATTCCATGGGCACAAGTATTCTACCCGAGGACTTCATCGTAACCTGCCAGACGGAGGCCTATACTCAGATCAAGAAGTACATGCCCGACGAGCGCCTTGGACCTTGCAACGGCTTCACGTTGAGTGTGTCGAGGGCTCTGGAAGAGAGCCCGAAAGAAACAAATAAAAAAAAACACGCTTCCCCTTTTGCTTTGGTGCATTTTGCCAAGGGATGTTAGGACTTTAACGTTTTGCCAACTAATGGGTTTTCCGTATTAAACCGCCAAAAGCTATTCGCTTTTAGCTGGGCTTCGCAGATTTCGCCACCGAGAGAACGGGTTTCAGTTGGGTTTTACTCCCTGAGCTCCTGGACTTTTTGGGGCTTGCCATTTTATGGTCAACAGCGACTTTCCTTGGCCAATCCACAAAAATGTGAGTTGGGACCTGCAAATCCCAACCTTTGAGTGGATGTGTCGCAAGGCTCCGCAAGGCTCCATTGGGGAAAAAGCTGATCTGGCGGGCTCGCTTTGGGGAAGCCTTGCTTCGGCACACTCGAAGCGCTGGAGGGCCCCTTTTAGGTTTGCATTTCAACAGGACACTGGCTGGGAGCATATCCGATCGTGTGAGCAGACAGAAGTGCCGTGGGTCAGAACACCCCTAGTGCTGGGGATGGTCAATAAGAACCACTGAGAAGGAAATCATTTGCGAAGGTTCCCTAAGGGAACTGTGACCGTGGCCCACAAAAAGAGTGACCCTGGTGCACATTGCTATGAAGCGAAAATGCCGCGTTCCGCACTGTCCTCAGGGGCTACAGTTCTTGTTTGATTTTCAAAGTCACCCGTTTAGCCCGGAGTTTGCCATGGTAGGGGTAACGTTCCAAGGGGACATATTGGGAGCCTTGTTCCTTGTTTCTGTCAAAAGCAAAGCTGGATCTCTATCCTTTCATTCTTTTGCTGGTGGAAATGGGTCCGTACATTTTGTCGGCGCTGTCGTCCGCTTTTTGCACATGCACGTCGACCGCTAGCTTTGGGCCAGCCAACTTTTCAAAGATGCCCGAAACAACTTGTGTGTGTGTGTGTGTGTGTTGTGTGTGTGTGGGTTGTGTGTGTGTGTTGTGTGTGTGTGTGGTGTGTTTTGTTGTGTTGTGTTGTGTTGTGCTGTGCTGTGCTGTGTTGGGTTGGGTTGGGTCGGTTCGGTTCGGTTGGGTTGGGTTGGGTTGTGTTGGGTTGGTGTGTGTGTGTGTGTCACTGTTTGTGCCACTGTGTGTGTGTGTCACTGTGTGTGTGTGTGTGTGTGTGTCACTGTGTGTGTGTCACTGTGTGTGTGTGTGTGTGTGTGTCACTTTGGGTGGGTGGGTGAGTGGGTGGGTGGGTGGTGGTGATTTGCGTGAGGTTTTGGTTCGCCCCCCGTCGCGCCGGGTGCGTGCTTCTTATATAAACTGTGTTGGACCATGTTGCGGAACGCAGCAGCTGGAAAACTGGAAATCTGTTTGGGAAATCGCGATTGGGCCAAAATCTTGGCTGAGAGGGTGAGATTTTGGAAACTGTGTTGGACCATGTTGCAGGATGCAGCAGCTGGAGACTGGACATCTGTGTTGGAAATCCGGCGTGCCGAGGTGCGTGCGTCATTCTTTTGGCCGTCCCCTTCATTTGGATTGACGTCGGACAGGGAAAAGCGGTGCTTGAGCACGCGGCGCTTGAAGGAGAAGACGTGGGGCCGGGTCATCAGCTTCCTTGGGCCTTTAGCCGTCGAGTGTGGGCGATCCCGGCCAAAGCTGCCCCGTGCTCAAGCTGGATTGGGAACGCTGGTGCGAGATCAGGATCTTTCTTGCTTCGAGTTGTTGACCCCATGGTCAGGGACTCATCAACGCATGGGCAACAACCACTCAACCACTTGCATGTGCTTTATTACACTCGTACTGAGAAGTTGCAAAGAGCACTTCCTTTAGTACTGAAAAGTTGCGACTGAGGGACTGAGGCTGCCAAAGTGTACTGTTTCATGATGCTGGATAATTTTGACTCTTGACGGATTCAGACTCAGAGCCGATTTTTGTTGAGCTCAAAGCGAAAGTAGGTTGAGCGGTTGAACAACATAATTTCTCGCAGTTGCTTCGCTCGTAAGTGTGGGCTTCAAGTGGCTGCGGCGGCGCTTTTCCCATACTGCATCCGTAGAATACGAGTTGATTGCGCTGTTGATGGTTTTTTGATGAATGTGCGGAATGTGCGCGTTACTTGGTAGTTTTACGTTTTAAGTTCACGGACAGTGAAAGAGCATCGCGGACATTTCGTGCTGACAATCTCTCTTCAAACTTAAAGGGCTATATTTTTCCCGCCCTCCAAAACATTTGGAACCATTTGTTCTTCCTCTGTGATTTTGCGCTTGCGCTTTCATAGTCTGTTGGGTTTTGCCTCCTTAGGAATGTTGGGTGGATGGGGTGGGTGGGCGGGTGGGCGGGCGAGGGCTCCGACACAGACCGGGCCATCGGTCGAGTGCAATTGGTGTGGGAACAGAGTTCCCGCGAATGGTTATGAAACTCCATCATGCCAAGCAGGAGGGACTTCGGAAGGAGCTCATCCGGAGCCTGTTCGTGGACAACTCGCACCCCATGCAGCCAGTGTGCTCATGAAAATATTGTATGGTGCTAGGATAGCACGTTTTGACTTGCTCAGGCAGGTCAACCGTCTGGCGAGGAACATCACCAGGTGGACAACTGACGACGACAAGAAACTTCATCACTTGATGTGTTACATTCATCACAGCAAGCATTGGGGAATGATTGGCTGGGTCGGAGATTCAGTCGAAGATATGTATTTGGCAGTTTATGCTGATCCTGACTTTTCTGGATGCGCTGATTCTTTGCGGTCGACATCTGGCGGTCACATGAACCTTCTCCGGAAGCTCTAAGCGACAGGGATGGGTGAGTCATTCCACCCCTGAAACTGAAATCGTCGCTGCCGATGTCGCAATGAGAGCTATGGGCATGCCTGCGCTCAGGTTGATGGAGCGTATTTTGGGTAAGGGGGCGAAGTTTGTGTTCTTCGATGACAACAAGGCTATGATCAGTGTTGTTCGATCAGGTAAGAACCCTACTATGAGGCATCTGGAACGAAGCCATGGTGTTGCTGTCACATGGATGCATGACATGTTCGAGCGGGACTACATGTATCTGGCCTATGAGGTTACGGACCGTATGGCTGCTGACATTTATACCAAAGCTTTCAGTGATTCCAGAAAATGGAAACATGCGTGTATGCAAATCGGATTGCTGGAGCCGGAAATGTTGACCGACCCGGAAACCCTCAAGACGGTCACATCTTCTTTTGACCCCAAGAAGGGAACCGTACAGGCAGCTACTGGTTCGATCGATGGCATACCCACTTTTCCGTACACGAAGTCTTTGGTGGCAAGGACTATCATCCAAGGAAGCCCTTCATGAACACGAAGGGCATGATCCGGTCATCGTGGCAAAAGTTCCGAAACTCATGCGGTACCAGCCACCACCCACGGTGCAATGTCCCATTGGCACACGGTGGTTGCGTTCCACTTGGTTTCTGTGCGGAGGATCATGGGAGAAAGTTGAGGATCGTGTCCCGCGTTGCAATGGGAGCGCATCGACAAGTACGTCGAGCGTGCAGTATGGCAGTTTCACCCGACACAGCCTGCGGCCCCAGCGCGCCAGGTTATTCAGCCAAGACAGCATTTTGGACAGGACGAGTCGTTCCAACGGTTCATTCAGGAAATCGACGGCAAAGACACCCTCGACACAACTATCAATTGCCTCCCTTCGTCTTTTACGATGTTTCAAGACGATGATGCGTCGCATGCACGCGCATCACCGTGAACAAGACAATCATCGTTTCTTTGTCCCATACAGAATCGCGGTTCGCAACCATTTGCGACCTGCTGATCCGAAAGCAAACATCACATTTCGCTTTGTGAGTCACAATGGTACCGTACTTGGCTTGCCTGGCTACGCCTATGTACCTGGTTTGGCTACTGGCGCAGAGGTCACCCTTGTTGCAAACCGACGGTCGTCATGGCATGTTCGGAATCCCACAACTGTTTACCGCGCTTGCGCTACGCTGGCACGTACAGGTTGTCACGATCACACTGCAGGATGGCCTGCTATCCCAGTACGGGGAGAGCCTCGCCAAGCACGCCATTACCAAATCGAGCGACATGTCATTTTTTGCTGGACCCTGCACGGGAGGATCATCATGGGCAAGATTGAACATAACACGAGGACCAACAACAAGCAAACTCATCCATGACAAACAGAACTCCCCAAAGGCTGCGAATATTGGAACGATGACAGGTTGAAGAAGCAGTTCAAGAACGGAGAATCGCACGAATTTGACAGGTGTAGGTACGGCTTGAAGCAAAGGTACGCCAAGAAACCCCTGCCGATTCGGAAACCCTGGCATGTCATTTCTTAGGAACTTTGACCTGGGGGAATCCCTTTCTATGGCAACCACAGTCATGGGCCTTGTGCTGGTAGGGAAACCAATGATACCCAACTGTACACTTCACTAATCGTCAATGTTATTCTGCGCCGTTTTGCTGCTCGAGCCAAATGTTCGCGACATCATGGAGTGAACCTGGCTTCACCTTGCATTTTCAGAGGCTTCGTTGAGAAGAAGGAGCTGCGAGGTGGCAGATCTTCTACCTGCACATCGCCGTCTACTCTTTGTACAGATTGCAGCTTCGATTCTGCATCACATCGAGGAGAACAAGGTGAGTGTTGGTTACACATCGCTCTGGGAGTATACCTGTTGAAAGGTGGTGGTCGTGTACCCCTCCTGGATCAGGGAAACCAGGACCAACTGTTGAAGGGTGGTGGTCGTGTAAGTGTACCTCGCCCGGATCAGGGAAGTCCGGAGTGAGTGGATCTTTTCTGCGGTGGTGCTTTTGCATATTTCTTTGTCTACAACCTTGCTGGATCGCGGAGCTGTACATCTTCAAGATGGGGGATGACTTCATCAACTCGGAAGAGTACCTTTTTGTTCCTCCGCACTATATGCTACGTCTGCGTATTTCTCCATGAAGACAACACAGGTACAAAAGGGGACCGGGCATTCGGTGTCCTGGTGCAGTAACTTCATGAAGGCAATC